TTGTTATCTTTAAATACTTTACCATTTCTAATGATCTGGATATACCAAAGGGGGAAAGATAGTAATTCCGACCAAATGATATAGTTATTGTAAGGTTTTCTGGACTTCAACTGATCTTTTAGCCAAAAACAACATAGTATCCTTCTCATTTTGGGGTTGGGGTAGTTATGATTTGTGTTAACTTGTGCTCATACAAAGGTGGTTCTAAGATTTGAACTTTATGGGTTCCAACATTTGAGTAAAAGTAATACTTTCAGCAAGTAAGAAATTTTTTTAATGTTGGTTGGTCAGTTTTTAAAAGAAAAAGAGAAACAAAAAGTGCTTACGAATGTTATTTTGTGAAAAAATAAAAATGAAGTTAAAAAGTGCACAATAAGATTTTAACCCTCGCCGGATATTCAGGAACATGGTTTAAGTTGGTTCCTCGCTTTGCCACTGGACCAACAGCTGATTTTACTTATGGTTTCCAAACTACAAATAGTTATAATCTGTAACCTTCATTAGCAGATTCATTTTCTATGATTTCCCTGATCAAACTAGAAGTTACCAAGGAACCATGCATAGCACTAAATAGGGAACCGCCGAATACACCAACTACGCTGCCCTAACTATGGCGGAATATTTTCGAGATGTTAATGAACAAGATATACTTCTATTTATTGACAATATCTTCTGTTTCGTCCAATTAAACGATGACATATTGTTTTAGCTCAGCGGAAACAAAATCCTTTTCCTTAGGATCCTATTAAATAGAAATAGAGAACGAAATAACTAGAAAGGTTGTTAGAATCCCCCTCTTCTAGAAGGATCATCACATTGGGCCCTTTAGGAGCATCCCTTCCAATAGAGAATTTTTATTCATCTGCTTCTCACGTTCCGTGCATAGCCAGGACATTGAGGAATATCCAGAAAGGCATTTCGGGATATTTAACATATTTCTCAATATAAATACAAAGTTTGGGTAAAAGTTACTAGGTTCCCGGGAACCCATACTTGATACTGTAGATCCACCCCTGCCCATATAGTCTTTGAGTAGGTGCATCAAAAAAATACATGCTCAGTATCTTCCCTTTCAATACCACATATGGGACAAGTAGGGGTGGGAAACGGGCGGGTTGGGCAGGATATAGGCGCATCGAAAACGGGTAATATAAAAACGGATAGATTTTCCGACCAGAGCTATATTTAATGCGGATAAAAAACGGATTAACCGTCGTATAGTATAGATATCCATATTATCCATGACTTCTCTTGAATATGATCACTTTTGGGAGAATTCCTAGTCTCCCAAACTTGAGGAACCCCCAATTTGAGGCTTTACAAATGTAAAAGTTATACCCATTAGTTATCCATTGGTTATCCATTTTCTAAATGGATAATATGATTCTTATCCATGTTTGACTCGTTTTTAAAAAGTTCATTATCCAACCTATTTTTCAATGGATAATATGGGTGGATAACTGTTTTTTTTTTTAACCATTTTGCCACCACTAAGGACAAGTATCATTAGGGCGAATCTTTCTTCTAGATAGCACATAGGTGGTAGGCATCCTATTAAGAGTAACAGTCCAGAGAAAGAATCTTAACTTATTAAGCGCACTTATTTTCCAAAGCCAAGTGTAATCTAATCCTTCATATCGTTATGACCGGAGATTAATTCATATGCGGCTTTAGTAGAGAAGGTATTGTGACCTTAAGTGTCGTTGATCGGCTGAACTTGATTAATGTAAGTGCTATAAATTTTAGTAATGATATCATTTCGGAGTAAATTGGACAGGTTTCTTACATCAAACTTCCCATTCCCTAGAATAGTATCTAGGCTTTGGTTCATCTCGTGTTGTGCTGCGTGAGAGACCTTGAATATGGTTTCTAAGACTATCAATTTGATTTACCCACCTGTCATACCAAAGGTTGATAGAATTGCCATCTCCTACTAGCCATTTAGTAACTGAGTTACAGATATTGACTCCTCTACTAATATTTTTCGATACATGGAACCCTGTGGTGCTCTTGCCTTCTTCCCTACCTAATGCACATCTTCTCCCATATTTATTAAGTAAGGTTTCTGCCTAGAGGGAATCCTTTTCCTTCCTAAATCTCCGGGCTAGGGTGGCGTGGAAGGAGGAAGCTTTCCAATGGGATTTGTATAGACCAATCCCTCTGTGATGCTTCGGTCTTGTGACTATGTCCCGTTTAACTAACAGCTTGTTTGGATGGTTGTTACGTATCATTTCATAATGTATTGTATTGTATTATATTGTACTGTATCGTTTGATGACTACGTATACAAATTTGGATAGACTTTAACGTTTGTCATCGTTTCATGATATCACACACCAGTAATATGAAGAATAAACCTGCAATATTATAAAGAAAAATGAGGATACAAGGTAGAATTATTATATAAAAAGATAGGGGTAAGGATAAAATAAGATTATTTATTAACAATGAAGGGCAGGATGAGAAAAAAAATAAGGTAATGACGCGACCACACCAAATCGGTTGTTACATAAAGTGGCACTTTTCGTCGTTACGTAACGATGGATTTGACGATATGATACAATAAAATTTAAGTAACAATCAAAACAAATATTGTATTTAAAGTAACAATACAATACAATAGATAACCACCATCCAAACAAGCTGAAAATGTCATTCTCTCTTTTCCTCAATACTTTCCCAAAGGAAGAATAGACAATTTTACTCAATGTGGCCTCGGAAAGCTTATAAATTTGCATAACATGGTTGGGAATAGTCAATAAGATAGATTTAATAAGAGTAGTCCTACCTCCTATATTTAGGAAGTTTGTTTTCCAACCCTTAAGTCTACTACTCGTACGGTCTTCCATGTCTCATGAACAAGACTTTTAAAGCTAGGATGGGACTTCCACATCGACTCTATTCTGAATATGTTACTTTATATAGAGAAGCTCTTTTGGAAGTCAAGTTTGATCGGGCAATGATCGGAGAGAGTCCTAGTAAGATGTTTGACATTAACTTCTTGAAATAGGTTAATGATAGAATATATGAGTCCACCAAATTATATAGAGACCAGGTCCTATATAGGTTTTCACAGATAAGGCTAATGCAACAGTAAGTAAATGGAACAGGGAACTTTTACGTGGAATAATCCATACTCAATGGGATAAAAAACCATGACCTACACTGGTAGGATTTCAACTTCACTATGAGCAATCTTTAGATTACAACCTATGCAATCTAGGAATTAAACTCTTAATCACTCACTAACTTGTAATACACCTATTACAAGCCACTTTGCAATATACCTATTACAAAGACTTCAACTCATGACTAACTCTAGTCACGACACAAACACTAAAGGTTTATGGTTTACAAGGGGTTCCTAATTAAAGCTTCTAGATAAGCAAAATAGGAATTACAATGAAGAATAATTACAAAATTACAACTCAACTAAGGACATACAAGAGACTTGCTGTAGGAACTGGTCCGTAGTAGTGTTGTACTTTGTTCTTGATGCACTTGAGAATTGAATGCTTGATTGTCAGATGCTTGAATGCTTGAATGAATTCTCAAATGTTCAAGTAATGTTTTGTTGTAATGTTTATTGTTAATACAACATGGATGACTTCACTTAGAATGATGTAATCACTTGGTTGGTCAACGAGAAGTGACTGCTGTACAGTGCTGCACTGTTTGCGTGTACAGTGCATGCAGTCACTTTCCAGCTATAGACAGTTGACTTCATACTACTGTCAGGGGAACCCAAGAGGATCAGGTCCCTGTATTGACTCTTTATCTTCTGAAGTCATAGCAACTCACATTAGCTTGAGTACGTTGATTGAGTTGTGTTGAGTTGTGTACCAAGTGTATCGGGTTCCTTATTTGGTGTTTTAACAATAAATTTATTAGATCATCAAAACATAAAGCTAAGGTACTGTAAACCCATCAGTTAACCCAATCAGCATTTGTTATACATTTACGTTGTCTTTCCATAGTGAGGGTTTTACTTTTTTTTTCTTTTGTTAGTACAAGTATACTTAGGTCCCTTAAACTTAGGTCCAACCGTTTACAATAGTCCAAGCAGTTAAGAAAGTTAGTTATTTTGTTATTACGAACAGGTAATTCTCCAAATTTTACAGAGGCACGCGTGACTTTGTTGAAGTCTCCTGCTACTAATCGACCAATAAAAATTTCAATTTAGTTGGTAGGAAAATTATGAATAGCTTCAATGGAAAACTAAATGGCGATTTTAAACTCCACTTAAACTAAATTTAAACTTCTCTTTCTTTTTCTCCTTCTAAATCACATGTTAGTTATTATTTCACGATGAAATAATAACTACCTAGTTGAATTTAAGAACTAATTAAGTCGAAATATTAACTCCATATACTTCCAACACATCTAGTGCAAATTAGGCGTACTTTGACTTGTTATTTCCATCATAGTATTTTCTTTTAACTTTATTTGCAATAGGAGTATAATAAATTGAAAGCATTTCAGACTATATAAGTCAAATGATGTCATCAAAACGTAGTTTGATGTCATCATAAGCATAGTTGTGGATGTACATACATTTATGGTATATTGTTGGAGCTTTTATTAGCCAGATGAGAATAACATTATTTTTATAGCAAAAAAGGTAAAACTAAAAACTTAAACAAAATGAATAAGTTTCTAAAACAGAATAGTGGAAACATGGCATTACTGGGCTAAAACTATAGTAACAAAGTTATGAAATAATCTTAAAATGTCATTTTAATTGGTGAGCAAATCTAAGGTGGATTTTGGTGAAAGAAAGAAATTGACTCCAATGTATATCCAAGTAGTTCAAAACTTTAATTAGCAAATCTAGAGAGTACTTTATATGCTTTATCAATAAACACAAATTTGTGTTCCCTTTCAACAAAATACTAAAACCATCTAAAACACCTGCAATCAAGAGCGATCATTCAAAGTTGACCATTTTCCTTTTATTATTTGTCACAACATACAGTCGATTTTTTCGAGAATAAGAAACAATGGGGGGTGAAATGGTCGTAGCAAACAAATCTTCTGAAATTCTTGATAGTGAATTTTATAAAAGTTACAGCATTATGGTTGTGGATGATGATATCACTTGCCTTTCCATTATTGCTGCTCAACTCAAGAAGTGGAAATACCAAGGTATAGTCGTGAGTTTTTTCTTCATCATTTTCTAATTTCACGAGTGTTTTCTTGTATGCATAAAATAAGGTCCTTTTTTTTTTAAGTTGCCATTTCTTGATCTGATCATTGTTGTAAGTAAAAACTGACATCAAGAAAAGGACCTTTTAATCAAATTTAATTTTAATCTTCACAAAATAAGGGTTTCTTATCTAGCAAAAGAATTAGTGAAAAGGATTACTTGCTATTCTAGTCATGATACGTCGTAACAAAATTAAGTGTTTTAAAAGGCGAAGACATGCATAGGGCAAGGCGCTTTACGTATCATGGAGTGAGACGTACTCCTCAAGGCATATGTCATAAGCCCCACAAACTTTTAACATTATTATAAATTGATAGCATAAAATGGATTAAAATATAAAAGAAAAACTTATAGAAAACATATTAAAATTGTACCAGATTCAAAAGAAAAAGTGCAAACATAGATTTAACTATCTAATTAGCATGATATATGTACACATAATAATCTAAGTCACCGATCTTACAAAATGCCTATTTTTATGAGCTAAAGTCAACTACTTGAAACAAATTAAAGTAAGACATTTCAGAATGGATTAAAACATTAAAGAAATGTTATAGTAGAAAACATATTAAAAATTGTACCAGATTCAACTAAAACATTAACTTCAAGGCATGTATCGCTATGCTAAATTTCCTTACGTTTTCTTAATTATTTTCGTAATTTCGTGAGTGTTTCTTTTTCTTTTTTCATATATAAAGTGGAGGACTTTTAAATTGAATTTAATTTCAAACTTCATAAAATAAGGTTTCTTGATCTCTTGCAAAAGAATTAATGAAAATGAACTTTCGGTAATCTTGTCATGATTGTTCTGAAAAATTAAGTGTTTTAAAAGGCGAAGGCACTATTTTTATTTTTTTTAAAGTTCAGAGCTTCAAGACAAAGAGGAAACGGATAATTTCTAGGGCGTATGGGATATATAAAATGAATATATTCCACCTATCAACTCGTGAGCCCCCTAAAAGTTAGCTTCTCATGGTCGCCTCAGTGCATTCAAAAGGATCGGCGGAGCTAGAATTTTCACCAAGGAAATTTAAAATATAAGAAAATCAAGGGAATTCAATATTCATTAAATATACATAACAAATTATTTTGACCTAATATATAAATTTTAATTTTTCGGTGGAGAGGGTTCGGATGAATCACCTTCCTCCCAGCACCGGTCATGTTCAGAGGTTCCATTTAATTTCACTAGGTTAGTCCCGGGCCAGTCCAAGTGATGACTTATAAAGATTGACTAATCATACTATTCTAGATTATATCCTTCCCATTATAGTTAAGCAAAATTTAATTGCATTCACAAGCTATTTCAATCAAGAAGCTGATTCAAACTATTAATGAAAACAAAGTACACGCATCTTTAAGAATGATCTATATATGATAACCGCAGTACTAATTAAACCTGAGCATCTGTCATATACATGTGAAAATATAGTTTATTTCATCTTATACTTTCTTTTTCTCATATGATTTCGAGAATGTTTTTATATATGGAGTAGCAATCATTTCCTCTTTTGAGTTACCTTATAATATCTTCATAATCAATTAGTGGGTTTAATTGATCAGTTGTGACGGTGAAGCACGCAAGAGATGCATTGTGTATCCTTCGGTTCAGCGGCGTCTCTTTCGACGTTATCGTCTCAGATGTCCACATGCCTGATATGAATGGCTTTGAGCTTCAACGAGTGATTGCCCAAGAATTCGACGTTCCTGTTGTTTGTGAGTTTCTAATTCTTTCTCTCTATATATAGATATACATGTTTATGATGTCTAGTCTTTTTTTTTTTTGGTTTAACTTCCATAAGGACCGTGTATATACTATCAAGTCATTTAAAATAATTTATAAATAACTGCACATGATAAGTGAAGCTAGCTTGTTACCTCACAACTAAAGTTGTGATATTCTGCCTCAACAAGTTAGATTATACTGATATTGCGAAGAAATTAACCTTGGAACTAACTAGATCGCAAAAGATAGCTTATGAGGCGAGAATTTCTAAAGATTATATAAAGAGACCAAATCACCTATCCAAAACTGATGTGAGTTGCCCTCCCCCCACATTTAGGCCTATCAAGTGGAGTATGGACAATATAATATGAGAGCTAAGCTCAACTAAAAAGTTAGACCATGAAGTAAGAATTGCGCAAGATGACTAAGCACCCCATCCACAACCGGTGTGAGAATTCTAACATATATAACCTTTTTCTTTTTGCCCAATGTTTATAACTAGAGTCATGTATTTTTGTGGCAGTTATGTCAGCCGATGATAGAGATAGTATGGTGTTGGAAGGACTAGAGCGTGGAGCTGTATTTTTCTTACTGAAGCCCATATCACCAGATGATCTACGAGATATATGGCAGTATGCTGCCTTGGCAAAGAAGAACAAGGGGAAAGGCAAATCAGTTGTTATTGAAGAAATTCAAGAAAATTACAGTTCAAGTAAAAGCTCCAGTGGCTTACCGAAAAGCCCTCATGAAAATGTCGAGTCTTCGTCATCGATCAACGTCAAAAAGGGCAATAAAGAAGGCAAGAAGGAAGAATCTAAGAAGAAGTCTGCAAGAAAGTATAAGGAGGCTGAAAAAGAAGACAGTGGCACACCACCAAAGAAGACTAAGCTTGTTTGGACAGATGCACTTCACAACAAATTCTTGCAAGCAATTAAAGAAATTGGTTTGGACAGTAAGTTGTTGCTAACATGTGTAGAATATTGGTATAACTAGACTATTCCAATCTAGCTAAACAATGAAATGAACATAATTTATTAACTGTTTTTTTTTTTTTTTTTTTTTTTTTTTTTTTTTGCAGAAGCTTATCCGAGGACAATTCTTGAAGTCATGGATGTCCCAGGACTAACAAGAGAAAACGTCGCCAGTCATTTGCAGGTTCACTTTTAACTATGTTGCTTAAAAGGAAATTCGGTAGCATGGTTTTAGCACTGGATTTGTGAAAATGCATATTTTTTCAACATAATAGAAAGGAGAAACTACCTTTGAACCATATTCAAAATATAAAGATATTGTTACTTTCCAATATGAAACTCAAGCATCCACTGGTTTTTATAGTTAGAGAATTGAGTATTTTCTTGAATTAAAGCCATCGTATTTGGAAGTTACACTTTTATTGATTCATGCTCATTTTAGAAGCTCCTTATCAAAACTATTCAGAATAAATTTGTGTAGAAGTTGACATAAGGCAATCAGTTGCAAGAACAGAATTACATCAATATTTAATAGTTCTTTTCTCATTATTATTTTTCTTTATTAGAGCTAAGAAACCCGTTGCGTGCAAATTTTGCAGAAATATCGTATTTTCTTGAGGAAAGTCACTGAAGAAAGTTTCAGAGTTCAAGCTGCGGACACAAACTTAACTAATAGTGCTACTCAATCAACTTTCGGATCGAAAGGGCTAAGTACAATCAGCCAACATCCTCAAGAAATTTCTGGATCGCAACAGCCGTTCCTCAAGAACAACTCATTGGCTGAGACTTCAAACCGTAGCAGTTCATCATTGTCAAATCGACGCGCTACACCAGCTATTACTCTGCCAGGATATGGAAAAGCAAAGTTGGTTTTGAACAAAGGTGATTCAAGTAAAATCACGTCTAGTAATGCAAATCAAGTGTCCACAGTAGAAGCAGTTAAGAATCAGACTAGGTCATTGATACATGAGGATGTTTCAACTCAGCTCCTGAATGCTGCAATTTTAGCGAATCAACGTATTACAAGAAATTTGAACTCTCTTCATAACAGCTCTGCTGCCGGAGAACACCATGAGTCAAATCAAAGTTTGGTTCAAAGGGATTCGTCTTTGATTGGATTTCAAAGAGATAAGGAATTTGCAGCCATGTTGACTAGTTATCTTAATCAGGGAGCTAACCGTACGCAGTTAACCCGATTGCCAAACAATGTCGAGACTGGAGGAGGAAGTGGTACTGTACTTGATCAAGATTGGTCTAGTTATTTCAATCAGGGAGCTAACCGTCTGCAGTTGACCAGATTACCAAATTTTTCCGAGACTAGAGAAGGAAGTGGTACTAAACCTGGTCAAGATTGTGAAGGAGAAAAGCAATCTGCAGCCATGTGGTCTAGTTATATTGATCAGGGAGCTAACCGGGTGCAGTTAACCCGACTTCCAAACAATTTCGAGACTGGAGGAGGTAGTGGTACTAAACCCGGTCAAGATTGTGAAGGAGAAAAGCAATCTGCAACCATGTGGTCTAGTTATTTCAATCAGGGAGCTAACCATATGCAGTTAAACAGATTACCAAACAATGCCGAGACTGGAGGAGGAAGTGGTACTAAACCTGGTCAAGATTGTGAAGGAGAAAAGCGATCTGCAGTCGTGTGGTCTAGTAATCTTAATCAGGGAGCTAACCATGTGCAGTTAACTCGATTTCCAGACAATTTCGAGGCTGGAGGAGGAAGTGGTACTAATCCTGGTCAAGATTGTGAAGGAGAAAAGCAATCTGCAGCCATGTGGTCTAGTTATTTCAATCAGGGAGCTAACAGCGTGCAGTTAACTCGATTTCCAAACAATTTCGAGGCTGGAGGAGGAAGTGGTACTAAACCTGGTCAAGATGGTGAAGGAGAAAAGCAATCTGCAGCCATGTGGTCTAGTTATCTTAATCAGGGAGCAAACTGCGTTAATCAGGGAGAAAAGCAATCTGAAGTGGTCATGTGGTCTAGCAATCTGCAGTTAACTCAATTTCCAAACAATGTCGAGACTAGAGGAGGAAGTGGTACTAAGCTTGGTCAAGATTATGACGTCTCTATGTTCGATAAAAATAATGCTACATCGTATTCAAGTGGAATTGGTGATCTTACAAGCACTTTCTACAGCCAACTGAACGTTCAACCTTTTCATGTGGTATATAGTTCTCAAGTTCAAGAAGTTTTATTCCTTCTAAAATATTTATTTGATTATCTTTAGTGTAAATTTTACTGCACAAACTTAACTGTGTACATGCAGGAAAGCAGCAATAATCAGGAGGAGACAACTTTTAACTTAACCGATGTTAACAATCAGGACCAAGAAGCTTATTATCCATTGCCAGTTGATTATACACCAGGAGAGGCAAGTTAAAGCTTTATCTGTCTTTAACCATACATGTTTTGTCATACTTGCATATCAGTGTAGGCTAGTGTTAATCTTGTTAAATTTTATTAAGTTTGCATCATTTTCTCTTTTTGTAAGTGTTATTACCTGCCATCTAGTTGAGCTATAAAAGTTTAAAGTATTAATGTGTTTAGACAATCTATCCTCCTATAATACAACTTACTAATGTATTTAATGTTGAATTTTTCCTTACAAGCCGCTATAGTCTTCTGCATTACAGCGTTAAGCGAATTAAACGAGTTCTTGCACACTATCATTTTTTCTTCACTTTCTGTTCTCTTTCCCTTATTACTCCCTTCCTCTCCCCGCAATTAAGAGTGGAGATGGATGTTGCATATTTTGGGGCGAAAGGGTTCTCAAACAGTATAGATGGTTAATTTTCTATTGATTTGTTTGCTTACCTCATTGAATTAGAGAAATAACTTAGGTCATACGAAAGGATAAATATGTCGAATAAGATGATCCAATAACAAAAACCAAACTTATACAATATGACCTAGGAATTGATAGTTAAAAAATACTAGTCAGTATTCACAGCACGCTTTGAACTTTCTGATATCTTATTGCACTGTTGGTGTAGCAAGGAGATCACCCAGGTGTTACTGCAGAGGAAGGATCGTCATCTCAGCTCCATCATACTCACCAGAATCCGGAACTTGAGGTAGTTTTAGCTCATATACGTACCTGTGTTTGATCATAGAGCATTATATTCTGAAAATGAAATTTACTATCTTTGCCTTTACAATTTTTCAGCACGGCGATGATACGGATTTCTGGGATTCACTTCTTTCTTTAAGCCCTTATAATGGTGATCAGTAGTAGAGGGATCTAAAGTCAACATCAAAGAAGATTTACGCGACAGGCTTCTCAGCTAGTATTTTAATAGTATAAGGACAATAAGTTTTTGATTTTTATGCTCTTTTATAGATGTTCAATGGAAGAACTTGGAACAACTAAGGTACTTTTTTATTTGATAGATTGGTCATGTACCTATCTGTCCAACTATGTGAGTTTGTTTGTTCATTGTTTTCTTTGTAATGCACTATCAACTCTGCATATCCCTAATATAAACTCATTATTGTTATTTTTTAAATTTCATTTCCTGAAATTGAAGCAGCTTATTAATTACATCATGGATATTATATTTTCACCTTAGTATATTGAGTTGATGAATCTGAAACCTACTCAATCTTGAGCATATTCGTACATTTACCTTAAAGTTCCCGTAAAAGGAGCTTTTATATGTCTGCACCTTCTCACCAGGAACAACCTTAAATTTTTCCAGTACACCTCTAATGAGGTGAACTGTGAGAAAATTACCATGTCATCTGCATATGGTAGATAATTAATTTTAGGTGCAAGTTGAGACAGTTAGTCCATTAAGACTTCTGCAGAGAAATTCAGCACCTATAACAAAAAGTAAATGTAATATAGAATCATCTTGTTTGAGTCCACTTAGTTTTTTCCTTAATCTTTTTTCTTCCACTTCATCCAATATATTGTCATTTTTCGTCATTTCTTACACTAAGGTTTAATGTTCTCAATCTTCAATAATGGGAGCAGGGGCGGTGATCACGCCCAACTATGCCTTATAAAAAGGACTAAGTGGTCGTTGCAAATATAATCCGGTTTACAAGTTCGGAGTCGAATCCCACGGAGAACTAAGGTTTAGCTACAACTGTTCAATATTACCAAGAAGACAAGCTTGAACAATTCCTAACTTATAGATATTAAGATTCTTGTGTTTAACTAATTAACTTACAAATTAAAATAGTAAATTAACAACTAAAGATACTACGGGTTGGAGACAAAATACAGGAGGTCTAGAGTTATGATTTCCCCAATTGTCGAAATCCTTCCTGCTACATTTTCTATAAATTCGCCTAAGTATTATCTACCGATCATGAGCGCTCTGACTGTCGTAACTCTCTCCCGAGTAATTACAACAATTTACTAGACATATTCTCCCGAATTACGCTAGCTAGCATTATGTACGACTCACTCAGATTGCACCCAAGGTTTCGTTATCCCTAATCCCACCTTTAAACCCTTCGTATTGATCCCTCATATACGTTAGGAGTGACGTTGTTCAACAACTACCTGAATATGCACTCTCTCCCGAGTAATACACAATAAATAGGCACAGTCGATTGAGAGCTCTTCAACCAACCACAATAATAACGTAGTTGAACAACTAGAGAAAAAGCTACGTCAAAACTATACTAACGTAACAGGAAAATCATCCTCCAATAGGTTCCATCAAAACCCTAGATAACAAATTAACTATTCATAATAGTATGCAAAACTACAATACTAGAATTCATAACCAATAATGGAAAACAGGAAGAAGGAAGTGAAAAACTCGTAGAAGAATTCTCCGCCTTGATCCTAGTGTGTTCTTGCCTCCTTAGGTCGAAAAGTGTGTCCAAACTTGATCTCCGTCTCCGTCTGTCTAAGGAACTCCCAAAAGTGACATTTTTAGATCTATTTATATGTTTAGGACAAGACCTAAATGTGTAGGTTAACTCCTAGTCAAACCGGGAAACAATAAAAACCTTCAAAACTCGGACTGGGCCTGGCCTTAAGCCTGGCGTCATCTGGATAACGCCAGCCTAGGCCTGGCTTTAAGCCAGCCTCGCCTGGATAAAGCCTGCCTAGGCCTGGCTTTAAGCTGGCCTCACTTGGATAAAGCCTGGTCGAGCTGGCTTTTGCCCGGCTTCTCCTTTTCACCGTTTTCAAGCGCACTTTCGACGTTTAAGCATCCCTTTAGCTCTACTTTCATTTCCGATGCACCTATACATAAAATAGCCTCAATTACGCTCAAACAAAGTATATTTTAACATTAAAGCATGTAAAACGCAAAGCATATAATGTGCAAAAGCCATGATTATAGCCACACATCAGGCGGACCCGTATTGGTTCAAACGTGTTCGGTTGAACCCGCTTCATAAAAGAATTATACTATTTTATATGTAAACTATTTTTTCAAGCACCAAAATGAAGTTAAATAATAAATGTTGAACCCTCTTGAAAGAACTGAGGTGCAGTGCAATGGTTCTAGCGGAGTCATCAACAATGTAAGGTCCAGGGATCGAGTCTTACTTGCTTCCTTTTCACGTATAGTTTAATTTTTTCAAAAATGGGTAGATTTAAAAGATCCACCACCCAAATTTACCATTCTAGTCTTTGGAAGATTTATTTAAGAATAAAATTATTGAGATTAATCTTTTAAAGACCCAATGACCAATATATTATTCCATTAAATACCCATTCAGAAATGCACTCTTGACATCCATTTGGAACAATTTGAATTCCATATGAGATGCAAAGGCAATGATAATTCTGATCGCTTTCATTCGAGCAATTGGGGCAAAAGTCTTATCATAGTCAATACCTTCTTCTTGGTTATTTCCTTGAACTACTAACCTGGCCTTGTTTCTTATTGTGTTCCCAAACTCATCAGCTTGTTTCTGAACACCCACTTAGTTGGTATAATAGTTCTGTCCAAGGGTCGAGGAACCATGTGCTATACATTGTTCCTCTCAAATTGATTTAGTTCATCTTGCATAACAATAATCCAGTCAGCATCTTTTAACACTTCTTTGATATTTTTGGGCTCAATTTGAGAAAGAAAAAGCTGAGAAGGCAAATGAGCTTCTTGTCTTTGATCTGGTTAGAAACCCTGAATCAAGAGGAGTAATCACATTTTGGAGAGGATGTGAACTTTTGTGCTTCTAGTTAGACACCTGAATCTCATTATGAGAAGACCCAGGTTCCTCTGAATGGGATCTATTGTTGGCATCAATGGAGGGGTGAGTGCCACTTCTCTGCTCGGCATCAGGAGTTCCTTGCACGGCATCACCAACTTTGTTTTCTTCTTCAGTTGTTGTGATGGAGGAACCAGGTTCTTCTGTATTAGCAGGAGATTCTGTTGCATCTTCTTCGTTGGATTCATTGACTTGGCTCATCAAGTCAGACTTTCCATTTGCCATATCAATAGCTTTTCCAGGAACCTTTAAATGCACTCCATCTTGATCAATCTTATCATGTGAATCTTTCCCACATAAGTGCTATAATTCATCAAAGATCACATGTATGCTTTATTCAACACATTGAATCCTTTTGTTGTAGACCTTGTATGCTTTGCTTTGTGAGGAATATTCAAGAAATATTCCTTCATCACTCTTGGCATCAAATTTTCCCAGCGCTTCCTTACCATTATTGAGAACGATACATTTGCAACCAAATGTTCTCAGGTAAGTTAGCTTGGGTTTCCTCCCGTTCAGCAATTCATACGGGGTTTTGTTTAAGAGGGACCTGATCATGTACCTATTTACCAAATAGCAAGCAGTGTTGACTGCCTCTGCCCAAAAACCGTTTGGGACACTACTTTCAATCAGCATAGTCCTTACCATGTCTTCAAGAGTCCTATTTTTCTTCTCCACAACACCATTTTGTTGGGTTGTTCTGGGAGCTGAAAATTTGTGACTTATACCATTTTCAGCATTGAATTCGTCGAATTTTACATTATCGAACCCTGTGAGGTAATCAGATCTTATACTCACAACATTATGGCTCATCTTCACTTGAATCTGCTTTACAAAGGCGGCAAAAACTGGAAAAGTTTCATCCTTGGTTCTGAGGAACATGGTCCATGTGAATCTGGAGTAGTCATCAACTGTGACTAAAATGTATTTCTTTCCTCCTCTACTTGGCACCCTCATAGGTCCACACAGATCCATATGGAGGAGATAAAGTCGCTTTGAAATACTTACTTCCTTTTTGGGCTTGAAGGAGGATCTGACTTGCTTTCCTCTTACACATGCATCACACACCTTATGATCCTTGACTTAGGCAGCCCCACGAATTAGGTCCTTCTTGACCAACTCTTTCAGCAACGAAAAGCTTGCATGTCTTAATCTTCTGTGCCATAGCTCAGCATCATCATCAACAACACTCAAACATGTAAGATCCCCAATGTTCAAAGACTCAAAATCAGCAACATAGATATTTTTTAATCTTTTTGCCATCAGAACCACTTCACCAATTACAAGATTGGTGACAGTGCAAGTCTTTGATAAGAATTCCACTTTGTTTCCTTTGTCGCAAATTTGAGAGACACTCAGTAGCCTATATTTCAAGTCATTCACATAGTACACATTCTCAATTGAATGAGTGATTGTCTTCCCAACTCTTCTTATTCCCAGAATGTATCCCTTTTTGCCATTGTCAAAGGACACACTCCCTCCTTGCAGGGCTTTGAGTGAGAGGAAATCATCGGTACTTCTAGTCAAATGCTTAGAGTAGCCACTATCCATATAGAATCATTGGTTGATTCCTTTTGATGCTCCTTGCACAAGGAAATCAAGGATTAGACTTAGGAACCCAAACAAGTTTGGCTCCCTTGTAGTGAGGAAAAGGGTGAATTAAACTTCTTCTTGTCCAAGCAGGCATCACACATTTTTTATTGGTGGGGCTAGGTTCTTTAGCAGTTGTTACTTTTTCAACAAAAGCTGTGTTTTTCTATCGAGACTGAAATCTAGCTTTACATGTTTCTTTGAAGTGCCCAGTGTTACCACATTAAGTGCGAAGCCAGTTATCAGGGACAATGACGTACTTGCTATATGGATTGTAGGGAGTCTTTTCCTTTTGGAACTCGATTCCCTGCCAGTTTCCCCCATTATTATTATATATGGCACTGATTGTCGCGCCCTTTTTTCTCGCGAAATCGGGTTTCGACATTTCTGGGACAACTCCTTTTTGAGAGGGTAGGGAATTGGAATTGAAAGAGTCGCCACCTAACGTATTAAGGTGCGTTA